CTCAATTTGACACAAAGTCAATAGATGAGCAACAGCAGCCTGAGGCCATCCCGGAAGCCAACAACTGGAGTGCCAATTGTAGAGTTACGTCTGTATGTGTGTGAGTGTGCGTGTGTGTGTGTGTGTGTGCTGGACAATGTCCAGCTGCTGCTGCCACAGCTAGCTCAGTGTCTACCTCCAGCCTTGCCTCGATAATAGTTACAGCGAATGCCGCTGCCGATCCTCGCATTGCCTTATTACGCAAGCCATAAAGCGGCAGTCGCGCTCGTTCCACGAACTGGCCAACGCCGCCGCGTGGCAGCCTAAAAAACTACAAATCTAAAAAAAAAAAACGAAAACGAAAACTAGAAACGAAGAAAAACAAAGTCGCAAATTCATCAAAAAATGAAAATAATATAGAAAACTGCACGCAACTAGAAGTTCCACTGGCTCATAAAACTAGACGCAAAAAAAGGACAGCCTCACAAAGGGCTGGCACAAAGGGCGCTGCGCGTTCGGGCCATAAAAAAACGCACACGCAACAAAATTGCATAAAACGCGAGCGTAAAAAAATGCCCAAGAACTAGCCAAAAAAAAAAAAAAACATTGCAAAAAAAAATTGACATCAATAGAAAATCTTCGTAAATTTCACAAAAAAAAAATCCTACGACCGTCATTTGCATCATTTTTTAATTTTTAGTTGCCTTCTGTACATTTTTTAGCTCGAGTTGCTTTGTTTCCCAGATTTGTTTTCTTTAAAAAAAAAAGCAAGGCAAAAAATGTTTATGGCCAATTTATGATAGGGATCGCAGCGCAGATTATGCAACACGAAAACTGGCCAAGAAGACGTCACAAATTTCGGCCTTTTGGTTAGGTTTCGGGTTCGCTAAATGGCAGCAGCAATTTTACTTTTTATTGTGATGAAGAAATGTTGCAAGAAATTTTCAGGAATATCACAAATTTTGTGGTGTGTGTGTGTGTGTGTTTTTTTTTTATCATTTTAGTTAGTTATTTTGGTTTAGATGATATACGTTGGGTCAACTTTGAAGTAATCTCTATAATACATTCTATATATACAAGATATAGAAGATATCATATATGCGATTCTCTTTTTAACAATCCTGATACTCTCCTGATATGCTCCTCTTCTGCTTCTCACAAGAAAGTCTTATAGAAGATTAGATCTAGGGTATTAGGGTCTTGATACAGATACTTTGCGCCAGTATTTTTATAGTATATAAAATCAAAGATAGGCAATATAGCTGTTAGAAATTAATAGATCATTCTAAATGTTTCCGAAACGCTAATTGGATATGATAAAGACACAAAACTATCCCAAATTGAACTTGGGTATATAATTATAAAAAATACTTTGTAAACAGATCTGCTAAAACCCCTGTAAAGAAAGACTCTACATTTGTTGTATGATATTAAATAGTTATGTATATCTATCGTATTTTATAACATATCATACGATAGATCAAATGTGAAAAGTAGACTGTATCATACATATATTGGATGATATAGAAGATCATACCTTATACAAACTGCCTTATGTAGACTAGGGACTTAGTTTTTAATTTAAATTCCATCTAACGTATCCATTTGTTGTCCTAGCAATACATCAATTTACATCCTAGCAATATACATCATTTAATAGTATATAGAGCATATATTATAGCACATAGAGTAATAATGTCTCTCATTTCTCTAACTACTTTTAGTTATACTCATATGAGAAGTAGTTTTATTTATCTCGAAAGTATTTTGTATTTACTTTAATTAACGATCTCCCAAGCATTATATGTATTTTGTATAACCTAAGGTCTAAAATTCAGAAGAATAAACTAAATAAACTAAAATCCCTTTCTTTCCGTTAGAATGTCCTATAGCTCTAAAAAAATGTATATATATTTATATATAAAATACATGCATATATACATATTACTTTATATTAAAGTTATTTAATCAAGATAAAAATATATAAAAAAAAATACATATTTATAATCGATGTTTTCATAATCGTCAAGAAACAAGATCTAAGCAAGTTCTCAAATAATACTCCTCCAGCAAAGAGCTGCAAACAATTTGCCGTTGTTTAAGAAACAAAACTCGACAAGGAAGAAACACAGTGTATAAGAGGACTTAGGAAACTAGGGGTATTCCCTGGAGCATAGAGATTCGGTATTTTTCGCTTTGTGCCGGCCTAGTGCTAGTTGGATGAAAATATTATCATTAGGCGTTAATTATGTTTGTGTCGAACAGTAGCCAAAATATTTTCGTTTCGTTTTTTGGCCAAAGGGTAATCAAAGGGCCGACGCCGACGGAATTCCGTGTAAGCGCGTAACCAGGCGACAGACAATGGGCCTAATAAACATGCCGAGCACACAGCATGATAAGCATTTTGGCATTTGTGTGTGTGTGTGTGTTAGGTGGTCTTCGCTGGAATGTGGCTAACATAATTCTGGTTAGGCATGGCCTAATGAGTTGGCTTTTCTCCAACTTTCAATATGTTTTCATTCGACTTTTCTCTCGCTCTCGCTCTCTGTCATCTTATTTTTTTTTTGGCAAATCATGCGAATGCGAAAATGTCGACGGCACAATTAGCCGGGACTTGAGGCGGAAGTGGCAGCAGCCACTGCAATTTATAACGGATCTTGACAGCCCTCGTCGCTAACAATGCAACAAACTGCGAAAATCTTTTTCGTATTTCGCTCGCCCGTTTCGGGCATTGAGCGTGATTATAAAACGTAAAATTGCAATCCACCCTGTCATTAGACGCTTGCTGCTTGCTGTCCGTTCGTCTCAATTGTTTACCAGTTGGCCATAAAAGGGTCCCAACACACATACACGCACACGCACACTCATTGATTGAGCATAGAGTTTCAGTGTGGCCTTTGTTGCAGCCAGGGCAGCAGCAGCCTTGCCTCATTGCCTCGTTGACAGGGGGGATATAAATGTTGTGATTTCTTAATTTTTGTTTGCATTTTTCTCGAATTTAGTAGGCTGTTGAAGTAATTACACTAATTATATGGCCCCGATCTCTCGCCATGTGTGTGTGTGATTGAGCTGTTAGCGACAGATCCACTAGACGTTTGTGTGTGTGCGTGTGTGTGTGTGAGCCTTGTTAAGGGTTGCTGCCTTTGCCGTTGCCTTTGCCTTTGGCTTAGCCGAGGTCATCTGACGCGTTAGATTGGCTGACATGTCAAACGGCAGAAGGATTTTCCTGCTGGCTCTCACTCTCTCCCTCTCACACACTCTCTCTGTGTGTGTATGTGTGTGTGTGTGTGTCATTGATACTTGCGTAAGTGCGGGGTGTGTGCCCGGACTTTAGACTCGTATTGCAATCATTCGAGTTACGCATTATTTGCAGCCCGTCTTCAAGTTGCTTCACTGATTCAATTATCCGTTGCTCTGTCATGGATCAAATGTAAGACTGAAACGGTTTTTGACCTAGCCAAGGTGTGTCGCAGGTAAAAAACAAAAAAACAAAACGAAACAAAAAAGAAATGCAGAGATATGCTGAACGTATTTGATGTAGAAATGAGTATGCATGTAGGCATGTATGTAAGTAGGTTATTTCGATATGCATATCGATATGCATGTAGATGTATGCAGCGCTAATCTATTATTATCGATAACTTAATTCACTTAGATATATGTATGCATGCATGCATGTATGTAAGTAGGTTATTTCGATATGCATATCGATATGCATGCAGATGTATGCGGCGCTAATCTCTTATTATCGATAACTCATTTGCTTATCGATTTGTAATCGATGTTTTTTCTTATTTTATATATACAGCTTTGCATGCAAGGCATATGTTTATATGCATATGTATATGCAAGAGTGGATATGTGCATGCGTGCATGCTTACACTTATACATGTCTACATATGTACAAACATAAATGTAAGCAAGTATGCATGTGACAGGCATGCCAGAAAGTTACATGTGAATTTGTGTATGCATGCATGCAAGTATTATGTATATACGTATTTACATATGTATGCAGGCTTGCAAGCAAGTATGCATGTTATATGCACGTGCATATGTACATATGTATGTACATGTATAATTATGTATGCATGTATGCATACTCATATGTATGTATGTATGTATGTATGCATATATGAAAGCACATTTCTGTACATAGATATATGTATGCATGTGCATATTCACTTTTGCATGTATGTGTGGGAGTATACACAAATGTATGTGTACATATGTACATGTATTTTTGCCAGTATGCAGTTAGACATGTTATGTATGAAGATATGCGAGCAAGTTTGCATGCTATATGTATGCGTATGTGTATGTATGTATTTATTTCGACATACATATGTACCAATGCATGCGCATATGTATGGATGTACGTGTCTATGAATACATGCATGTATTTATGTGCGTATGAATGCTTGAAAGCATGTATATACATATGTCTGCATGTTTGCCAATATGCATGTAAGCAATTGCAAGCAAGCTTGCATGTTATATGAATGTATTTATTTATACATGTGCATGCATATGTATAGATGTCTAAATGTGTGCATGTATGCATTTATGCATGTACGTATGAATGCATGAATGCATGTGTATATGTGTGAACGATGCATGCATGTATTAATACAAACAAGTTTACGCCTACATATGCATGCGAAAATGTTAGCAAGTGCGTATGCAGATTCGCATGCAAACATGCATGCAGCTAAGCGTACCATGTACGCGCCCATGCCTGCAGCTATGCATGGCATGCAACATGCGTGCATGTATTCACCCATTACCCCGTAGCGAATTCGATTGCGACTGCCTAAAGTTTCACCATTTATTTCGTTGTCCTTCTTATTTAACTACGATCTTGGTCAATTTTGGGAAAAATAGAGCTATGGAAACTCTGCTTATAATGGACTCGAATGAATTTGAGGTCAAGTAACTAGTTTACCGAATATATGCGTCGCTAGCAAATGTCGCACAGCAGTGAAAAGTGAATGAACAGTGGGTGAGCTGGACAGTGGATAATCGACTCGGTCAAGGATGCGGCTGCCAAAGGTCCGTCCGTCCGTCAATATTTGGAGATAACATTACGTAGCAATAGTCCCTTGCATAGCCTGTACATGGCAGACTCTCCGCCAATCGGTCGGGCGGTTCGTTTCGATGGGAATTGCTCCGATTTACTCTGGCGCATCATGATGGCTTGGGCTCTCGATTTGGCAAATATATCACCATTGTCCGAGTCCTTGTGCGCTGGTGTATAGGCCTGGGTATCCGATGCCACTTGCTTGACCCGAGCACCATATACGGGATGTGTGTATGTGGACGCCCGCGGTGGACGCATATCATCAAAGTTATGCACACCCGATCGACGGTGCCTCGACTGGCCAAACTGATAATTTCGTAGCTTCTGTGGGGTAAACGGTGTCGGCTCTGTATCATCCATCTGCTGCTGTAGCTGCATCAGCTTGTGTATGCGCTGATGCACCTTCCCATTCTCCAAATGCACGTTCACCTTCTTATCGCTATGATGATGATGGTGATGGTGATGATGTTGATGTTGATGTTGATGCTGATGATGCTTATGATCCTGCGCCTTTTGCATGCTCTCATTTTGAATTTTGACTCTCTCGAAATACGCATCCTGCGGGCATTGCTTTCGCTGCGGCTGATTTTGAGTTTGAGTTTGATTTTGATTCTGCTGCTGTTGCAGCTCCTGTGTCTTCGGCAGCTCCTGCTGCTGCTGCTGCTGCAGCTCCTGCGCCTTCGGCAGCTCCTGCTGCTGCTGCTGTGGCTGCTGCTGTTGCTGCTGTAACTGCTGCTGCTGCTGTGGCTGCTGCTGTTGTTGTTGCTTCTGCTGTAACTGCTGCTGCTGCTGCTGCTGCTGTTCCCGTTTGCTGTTGGTCAAGCTGCTGCTGCTGCTGCTAGACGTTTTGTCAGCCAACAAGAGGCTATGGCTGCTAGCGGTCTTCAATTCCGATATGCTCTTCAGCTGCCAGCTGCTGTCGACCTTCTCCGCCAGCTTCTGCGATGGCTTGGCCACCAGCTGATGCTCGCTGGGCAGCTTCACGGCGGCGACAGTCTCCTCCTCGTCGTCGCAGTCGTCGCGCAAGAAGTCGACGTGCTTCTTTTGCGGATTCGATGGCGTTGAGCCGCTCGACGCCGACTCCGGAGGAATCGGCGGCTGGCGTGGCTTAACCAACTGATGCCGTGACAATGACTCGCCACTGGGAAATGGAAACTTTGGCAATACGTGATGGAATGACTTATTGCGAGTCCACATCGCATCAGAACTACCTACAAATATATGAAACCAGGTGACATTACATAATTTTTTTTCATTTTCTTCTTCTTCTTCTTGATCTATTAACATCAAATGTCATTCGTTCGTACTTACAAATGCTCACTGGAATAAACTGCTTCAGCGCGAAAGACTTATTTCTCAAGAAGGCCATCTTTTCCTCCAAATTTTACGAAATATTTTAGAATCACTTGAAATATTTGAAATAATCTATATATATCTAGCTAACATATATAAATATATTTATAAATATTACTACGAATTTTGTTTTTATGAAAAAATTATTTCTATTTTAGCCGAAACAAACAAATTCTAAAGTAGGCTGTTAATATTAAAACTACGTGTGTCCGAACACTTGAAGGTTTAGAAATGAACTGAGCTCCTGAAGCTAAAACAATGCTTAGGTCGCCTGCCTCAAACGACATCGTTGCAAAGGCCTACTTTGGAGCGAAAAATACGAAAAACAAATTCGTAAAGCTTTGCAACATTTGTATATCAGTTTTGTGGCTGGAATCTTATTGGGCAACATTTGTATGCTCCTTCATGAAATGAAAGAGTTTGAAAAGTTTATATTTATGTTTCAGCCAAAAATAAAACATCCAAGTCAGCTGAAGGCGTGAAAAATTGAGGAAGAATCCTGCTCGAAATGAAACGATTTAATTACTATTGATCTACTCTACGGAGTCACCAAAGAGCGAGAGAAATTTTATTTATTTTTCTGATTATTATAATAAAAAAAAAAATGTATTTCTTTTTCTGAATATTATAATAGATATAAATAAATAAATAACTAGAAAAAAATATGCACATGTAAAAATATTAAATATAGAAAAAAGCGAAATTCCAAACTTTATTTATTTTATTTATTTTTTATTTTATTTTTTTCTCCCTCTCTTTCCTTTCTATGTTACAAATTCTTTAAGTTTAGACGAATATGATAATCTCTAATACTCGCCTTGCTGTTCAGGCTCTAAGAGGAGCTATGAACTATACTAGAATTAATTTTATACAATTTTATAAATAAGAAAAAATTTTAAAAATACTTAAAATTAAAAAAAAATATATAAATAAATATAAATAATATACTTATAAATTAATAAAAAATATATAAAATATGCAAAAGTGTATTCCCGATGTAAGCGTGCGCGAAAGTCGCTTAAATTCACTTTCGCATGGCTAGGCTATATCTCTGCTTCCTCTTCTATAAATATTTTCAAGCGAACTCTGCCATTTCCTCACTCTCCAACTGAACTCAGGCATTATTTATGTTCATTTGATCGAGTGTGGAACGGAGATGGGCGCATTACACAGCTAAGTAGTGTTGGACAACGTATTGCAAAGCATCACACTCGAATCAAAATACCTGAATGGGAAAAGAGGAGAAACAATCTCTAGTATCACATGTATATAATACCTATATGTATACATGTATCTATATATTTAGCTACGGGGTGGGTTTGGCCTTTGTCACGCATAGGTAAGACACGCTGACGGGAGTTGCAACGGAGTGCGCTCTGCGCCAGGGGGTTGCAAGTCGACATAGTAAATGACCCAAAACAGCAGACATTATCATTATGCTATAAATGGGAAAAGCATGAAAATTGTGGAAAATCGTCGCTCGAAATGCTCAAAGTGAAATGCATACAAAGCCGAATTAAATAACAACAAAAAAAAAAAAGCCCCGCTCACCCTCTCGCTCACACACTATATCTCTGTCCTGCTCGCTCTCTGTCAGCGTCAAAACAAATATATGTAGATTCGTTGTTGGGTCATATTTTATGCATTTGACAATTGCCACTTCAGTCAGCATCCAGCAACGAAATCAAAGCGAATTTATGACTACAAGAAGAAGAAGAAGACAGAAAAGAAACAACAACTATTGCATAATTTATGCATTTAATGTAAACAGACGATTTAAGCTACACACTAGAGGGTGGAAGGCGGAGAGGGGGGAGGGGGGTATCACGGCACAATATTATATTTAAGCAAAAAAAAAATAGCAATCCAGCGAGGTGTGCTCAGTGACTTGAGGCGAGCTATCTTCAATAATGAGTAAAAAAATATTTAAAATATTATATTTAAATATTTTTAATTCTTTTAGATAGAAAATATATAGAGTTAAATTATTTGAAAAAAATACTATTTGTATTTTTCCTAATAATTTATATATATATGTATGTATAATAATAATAATAATGTTATTTTTAAAGATTTAGCAGCATTATTTATTTTTATCAAAAATTTATATTTATTTACAAAAAAAATTATTTAAAAAAAAAATTATATTTGTATTTTGCCTTATGTATAATAATAATAATATTTTTAAAGATTTAGCAGCATTATTTATTTTTTTATCAAAAATTTATATTTATTTACAAATAAATTATTATTTTTTTTTTTTAATTATATTTGTATTTTTCCTAGTAATGTATAAATGTATATATATAATAATAATAATGTTATTTTTAGAGACTTAGCAGCATTATTTATTTTTTATCAAACATACATATATATTTATTTACAAATATATTTATTGATGTATAAATATATTGACATTTATATTTATTAAAGTATGAAATGCTTATCCAAAAGAAAAAAAATAATAATGTAGATAATGAAGTTCACAAAATTTTTACGTAAAATATTTGTCATATCATAAATCGCGATGGCCTCTATTAGTTAGATCCTAACTTTATAGTAATAGATATATCCTAAGAATTTGATGGCAGCTTAATTTGGTAACATTCCAGAAAACTCTAAAAAAAACTGCCTTAACTTATCAGCAATTGCTAAATTATTTTAAACTTTAAAAATCTAGAAGTGTTAAATATTCTTTTAAAAGTATCATACAAATTCAATATTTTCTATATTCTATATAAATTATTTTTACTCTTCTGCAAATAAAATAAAATACGGAGCTGCGTAATATCAGTTCATGTTTTTATGAATTGAATTGATAAAACTCGCTGTAATATAAATAAATAACTATTTAAAAAATCAACCAAAACAAATAAATCTTTGAAGAAGCTTTCAAAAAAAAAAAAAAAAAAAAAAAAAAAAAAAAAAAAAAACATTTTATATTAGAATTTATCTATTACATTTGCATAGTTCCCCGCATTCTTCAATCAAAAGCAAAAGAAGCGAAATTCGCCTTTCGTGAAAAGAGCGATTGGCTAATGTCTGTGGCGACCCTCGCAGCAATGGCTATCAAATAATAATTCGAGCTGACAGCCAGCAGTCAGCGCCATGTCAGAAATCACAATAACAAGAAGTGGAAGAAGCAGCAGCAGCAGCAGCCGCGTCTAAAGAAGCAATAGAATAAAACGGAAAGTGAGAAACAAAAAGCCGAAGAACTTTTTGGCCTAGGGTGGACCAAATGCAAAATAGGTTTGCAGGCAGTCAGGCAGACACAAAAAACTACTTGAAACGCTGCACAGAGGGCGGGGAGCGGGGAGCGGGGAGCGGGGGGTTGTCGAGCACGGCCACATCAGGACACTTCATGGACGCATCGGGGCCATGGTTCATTTACGTATCAAATTGGAACTTCCTCTGGGATGCCACAGCCCGAGTTGATGATGCTCCTGCTGCTCAATGATGATGATGATGATGATGATGATGATGATGCTGAGTTGATGATGTAACTCCCAAAACGCAGCTAATACGTTTTTTGTGTCACTGCGAGGCAGGTAGCGCAAATGGGCCCGGGAAAAGGCGAAGCGGAAGTGCAGCGAGAGGCAGCAGCAGCAGAGATACGCATATTAATGGCACTGATTGTGCCGCGCTGATAGCTAGCGCCCGGCTACTTGAATTACATTTACATGCGCCTTGGACCTCGCGTCCCGGTCTCAAGTTATATGTATCCATATCTACATGCTATATCTGTCTATCTCTCCCATCTGTATATCTGTGTATCTGTGTATTTGTCACAATTGCGCACCGCCCGCGCCCAAAGCCGACAAGAATCCGTCAACCCGTCCTAAGCGCATTACGACAATGAATGCTAGTAGCCGGAGAAGAAGATGAAGAAGCAGAATGTGAATGAGACGATTCAGCATTCATTCATAAAAATCTGAGAAGATCTTTGTGCCGTTTTTATTATGTCAGGCGGATGAGTTCGTTTACCTCGATGTGCAAACACACACACACACACACACACACACACAGAGTGACAGATAAGATGCAGTTACAGATGCCGCCCGCCTTCAGGCTCCTCGCTGCTTGCGGATGAGGCTCGTAAAACTCATCATCTGGCCACTTTTTGCATAGCCGTAAATCTTTGACGGCTTCAGATGGCCGCCTTGCACGGGAGCCACTGCATCCATCACACATCAAAGTGGCGCCCCCATGAAAGTGCGACCACATGAAACGCAGCTGTCGAACATTGTTGC